GCGGGTGGCGGGCTGGAGCCGTGCCAGGTGCAGGGTCTGCTGGCTGGGTGCTGGCAGGCTTGCACCTGGCACAGGCACCATAGCCAGCCCATGCCCCTTTAAGGGGTCCGGGGCCGGGAGGGGGACAGAAGAGTTTCCCTGGTGGTGCCCAGAGTGGCCACCAGGGCAAGCTGGGGAGGGCTAGCCTCCCACTAGTTCGAATTAAGTGGCAACACAGCCCTTAATTCGAACTAGTTAATTCGAACTAGGCGTTAGTCCTCATGGAATGAGGTTTACCTAGTTCGAATTAAGCGCTCCGCTAGTTCGAATTAAGTTCGAACTAGCGGTTCGCGTGTATAGCGCCTATCAAAGTTAATTCGAACTAACGTCTTATTTCGAATTAACTTTGTAGTGTAGACATACCCTGATACATTATAAGTCCTCCCATTCCCCACTCTTAAGTCACTCAAAAAAACAAAATAAAAAAACAATTTGCACAAATGGAAGTCAGCCATAGGGAAAAAATTTAAGTTGTTTCGCTATAAATCCAAGTTTTTTGGAACGTATCATCTTGGATCTTATAGTGAGGACAGCCGGTATAGTAATTAGATACGGTGTTCCTGTCAACTAACTGCTAAGTTGTCTGCCAAAAAAAAAGTAGAATTTTCCAGTACTGTGGGAGCCACTGAACAAAGATGATGTGGGGTGGGTTGGTTCTCTATAAGCTGTGCACCTACATGGCTGCACAGCAGTTATCTAAGCTCCTCTCAGAAGCTCCATGCAGGCCAGGAGCTCAGCTGACCAGCAGGGGGAGAGGCATTGTTTCACTAAGCAAGCAGCTAATGGAGGGCAGCTGCATGCTTGAAACTGAGCAGCTCCCAGAGCATGTGAACAAGAGAGATAAGGAGAGAATAAGTGGCTGGGAAGCAAGCAAGAAAGGCAGGAAGCGAGTAATTGGCTGAGGGGGAGCCAGTGGGGAGGAGAGTTTAGAGAGTCTCATACACAAAAGGAGCGAGGCAGAAACTCACCACCCTCAAACCTCCTGGGAACGGGGAGATAAGATACTGACTTCTGATGTGAGTCTGGAGTTTGTTTGTCCTGTGGTGAGGTATGGATAATTTGTCTGTGCTCTGTCCTGTCCTAATTCCCAGTTAGACTGCTGGTGCCTGCTACTTTGAGAAGAAACAGAAATTCTGCCCAAAGTGGGATCTATAAAACAATAGGAACCTAGCAGGCCTTTGTCTGGCAGGCATGACACACCCAAGGGAAGGAAGCAAAGACCCCGGGGGGAGGGAACTTCCCTGGGTTTGGAGGCTTAGCTGGAATACGAACAATTTGAGGGTGAGTGTGTAATAAGTTTGTACTGAGGTTTTAGTGTTAAAATTATCTAACTATTTTCTGTTATTTTAAATTTGTAACCTACTTTGCTCTGCCTCTTCTCACTTATAACCACTTAAATCCTACTTCTTGCCCTTAATAAAATCACTTATTTACTATCAATCCCAGTGTAAATAATTGTTACTTTGGGGAGCAGTCAGTGTACATTTCCCTTTCACTGTTAAAGGGGGGGTTACCTAAATAATTCATTTGGGGGTCTGATCCCATTTGGGGAGTGGTGTCCCAGGAAGCTAGGCCCAAAACTGCATTTTCCTGGTACTTAGAGTTTCAGTGTCTGTCCTGCTCCTTAGGGAAGAGGAGGAAGAGGGGGGCATTGATCTCAGCTCTGTGCCTCGGCTGGGGAAGACCAGAGAGCTGTCCCAGCAGGACAGGGTAGCAAGAAGCCCCAGAGAGTAGGAAGGTGAGTGGCAGTGGCCTTGCCAGCACCCCGGTGCAGTAAGTTGAGGGTCAGTAACATGGAGTCAGCAGGCCTGAATAAAGGCCTGTAACATAAAAACAACAACAGGCCTTGAAACTAGCAAGCAAGTCTTTGGTTCAGTAACACAGGAGCCAAGAAAGAGACCCTATTGATAACTGTGTAAGTTAGGTTGAACATGGAAGGACACAGGGAGGCACCAGGTACAGGTTGTAAGCCAGAGGGGAGCAGCAGAACATCTTAAGAAATGACTTAATACCAAAGTAGAAAATGTTAGAGGAGGAAATGGGGTTCCTCCATCTCCATTTGGTGCTTGGCTTGTACTGACCATTCTCGGTAACACTGCTGAAGCCTCTGTCCTCAGTCTCCCCTTCCGCATACTTTCACTCTCCTCCTCCACCTCGTGGCATACACAAGACACCCCCCTCCACAAAATCTGAAATGGAGCCCCTTTCTATGGGTGGTAATAGGAGGCTATTTCTTTTCTCATTTACTTCAGTGAAACTCTGCCTGAGAAATGACTCCAGCATTTGCTCTTTAGTGGTTGTCCAGCAGAGACACATTAACAACCACTAAAGAGCAAATGCTGGAGTCATTTCTCAGGCAGAGTTTCACTGACATAAATGAGAAAAGAAGTGGCCTCCTATTACCACCTATGGGGCTAAATGTTGGAAAGCAATTGGAAAAAGCTGCACAAATTGTGTTCTGCAATTTGTGTAGCTTTTCTCTGGAGAAAAAAAAAGCTATAGTGTAGACATACCTTTTGGGGAGCCTCAGGCTATCAAACTCCATAGTTTAAGTCTGGAGCCTAATTGTGGAGAAAAGAACCTTATTGCAGTCAGATCAATTGGCCATCATACAGTCGTTATTCACCTCCTAAATGGGTCCAACAACAGAACTTCTTCACACTAGTACTGCACAGTGAGATATTTTGATTTCTTTGCAGATTTGGATTTATTTTCTGACTCGCTTGGGAAGAACCATCCCTGTTCTGACAACCATGGGTCTCACTGGTGAGTCTGGGGTCTCTTTATATTTCATTGCACTCACTGCCAAAGAAACAATGTAAGATTGTTGTGAGGATGGGGTGTGGGATACATTTTACTTCTCTAGTATCTCCTAGGAGGAAGGGAGACCCTCTCTCATGCTGGACATCTTTCTCTGGACAGAAGCTTGACTGTAGCCTTGGCTCCAGACTTGGGGTGCAGCCTCTGGCTCTGGCTCTAGGACTCTTCTCCCTGCTATCATGTGGAGTCAGTAGTTCCAGAGAAAAAGGCAAAATACCACTATGGCCAACCAATGGACCAGTTCCCCCAAGCTTAAACTGAGTACAGGCCAATAGGGAGGAAGGGTTGGGCTACTTGTCCCTTGTGTGTCCAAACAACTGAGGCTGAATCTCATGGCTCCAAAAATAAAAGTGGGCCCTGATGTTTCCTCAGGGGACTCGGGCAGCTGCTGTGTGGGATCAATGAATTTGCTTCAAGAGCAAATGGAATATAAATAAACCATTTCTGACTAATTTGGCTCTTAATATCCAGGGTGACTCTTCTCAGAAGTGGTAATAGGATGTTCTGCGTGAGGGGCTCTTGATATGGACGGCAAGAGGTTTTAATCTCTAGCCTGTTTAAGAGCCAAATTAAAAGAGATCTCACTTTGCACAAGACTTCTTCACGCAGGCTGTGACTCCTGGCTAGCAAGTCCTCCACGCCCAGAGAATTCAACCCAGACCTCAAAACCAACGAAACAGAACCCATCTGAAAGTGGAGCAAAATCTGATTAATGAGTTTGGATTATTTTTGCTTTACTTATGTTCACAAAACATCCTTAAACTACAATCTCTTCTTTTAATTTTTCAGGTTCTTCTGAAAGTGAAATTGAATGCAATGGAAACATAAATGACGTTGATACCACTGGGGCGTCCAGTACAACTGCAAGACCAGAAGGTTTAAACTATTCTGGTGAGTAATGGCTGCTGTTTGGTTGCTATATTTTAGCACACAGAGTCATCACAATGATGCACAGTATTTCACTTCTAATAAAGTACTTTACAGAATTAATTGATTAAACCTCATACCATTCCTGTTGGCCAAATACCATAGTCCTCATTTTACAGATGAAGAAATTAAGACAGACAGAAGGACTTAACATTTTGGTATAACTCCACTGTCTTTAATGCTGTTACTGAAGGAATGATTTTGGACAGAGAGGTAATGGTGGACTTTTTCACATTGACTTCAGCTTTTTTTTTTTTTTTTTCCCCTTCAGGAGTGCAAATCAGACACTTAGGCTGCGTCTACACTGGCACGATTTTGCACAAAAGCAATTGCTTTTGTGCAAATTCTTGCCACCTGTCTACACTGGCCGTGAGTACAGGCAGTCCCCGGGTTACGTACAAGATAGGGACTGTAGGTTTGTTCTTAAGTTGAATTTGTATGCGAGTCGGAACTGGTACATATTTTAGGGGAAACTCTAGCCAAACATTTCTCCAGAACTCAGTTTTATTCTTCCACACCTCACTTCCCTCAGTCCTTTATTCTCAAGCTGAGGTGTCTGCTGAGAAAAGCCCCTCCGCGTCTCCCTGGTCTGCTGGGGGGCAGCAGCTAGGGCAGGGTTGCCTCACCCCGTCTGTAAGTAGGGATCTGATGTAAGTCAGATCCATGTAACCCGGGGACTGCTTGAATTTGCGCAAGTACACTGACTTTGTACTGTACAAAATCAATGGCTCTTGCGCAAATACTGCGGCGCTACAACTCAGGGATAAGCCCTCTTGCGCAAGAGGCCAGTGTAGACAGCCAAGTTAATTTCTTGTGCAAGAAAGCCCAATGGCTAAAATGGCCATAGGAGCTTTCTTGCGCAAGAGAGTGTCTACACTGCAACAGATGCTTTTGCGCAAAAGTATTTGTGCCAGTATAGATGCTCTCTTGCACAAATACAGAAAAACTTTTCCGTTTAAAAGTGTTTGCGCAAAATCGTGTCAGTCTAGACACAGCCATAGGTCTGATTTCCAGAAAGTTATCAGGAACTGTGAATACTTCCAACCCTCAAACTAGGCCCAAGGTGTCTCTGAAGCATTCAGAATTAACAGCCATTTAAAGTATTAAAGTTTGGCCCATGTGACTTAAATCAGTAGCAGAGGGGGATTGGCAGGGAGGAGGCTTTTGTTTAGTCCTTGCTGTTTTACACCTGCTACATGTACATCAGATCAACAGTTTATCTGGTATTGCTGGTAAAAAATGAAGGAACTCCCTGGTCTTTCACTCTAGAAACGAAACTGGACTGACTGCCAGATCCACCCCTGCTGAGTAGGATTGAAATTCCCTCCTAATGCAGGATGAAATCGCACTGAGACTCCCCTGCCCCCGCCATTCAAAAGGGCCCAGGGCTCCCAGCCACCACCACCACTAACACAGGAACTGTGGTGACCGGAGCCTCAGGCCCTTTAAATTGCTGCCAGAGCTCTGTGGGGCGTGCTCTAGGCAGCTCTTAGAGATGAGGGAGGGGCTGGGGTAGCAGTGCTCTGGGCAGTGCTGAGGGCTCACTTCCCCAGCCCCGCCCATTCTGAGAGCGCACAGCTGCCCCTCCCCAGTCCAATGTCCTAGCAAGTCTGTCACCCCCCCCCCCCCCATTCTGCATCTGTCTTTAGGAATCACTCTCTTGAATTCACCTCTGAACTTTGAAGCCCCGTATCACAGTCTTGCCTTTCTGGTCATAAAGGGTTCGATGTGACTCCTATTACCCCCTGTCAACATCACTCCTGCATTATCCACAGAGTTACAGGTTTCGGCTGATTTCGCTATCGTGTCTGAGCACACTCCCCCTCCAGCTCCTCGGGGAACCTGTTCACCTTCACCTGGCAACCTCAGGAAATAAGAATTAAACCCAGATTTTGAAAATTATTTCCAGACACAATTTATTTTGCCTGGACACGTCACTAACATCCATAATACTTAATGCAGAACACACAGGTTGCACAAGAGCTATTAGAGAGCAGAGTGGAGCTCTGTGTTTGGGAAATCTGTTGCTGATATTGCAGTAAGGAAATATCTGATGACTTTTCCACTTACTACAGGAGTCCGTGCTTCAGAGGAGATTGCTCGGAAGGACTTGGATAGAATGAAAGGATATAAACCCATGATTATTAGTGCTGCCAGAAAACACAATATGGATCCAGCTGTGATTGCTGGTATCATCTCCCGAGAGTCACATGCTGGACATGTCCTAGAGAATGGCTGGGGTGATCATGGAAATGCATTTGGTTTGATGCAGGTGGGTAAATGTCAATCAACTAGGGCTAGGTATTTTTCAGTACTGTAGCCCAGACAAGGATTGATACTTGGCCTATTGCTAGAAAATACAATAGTGTTGAGGCAGCAATGCATTGCTCTGGCATATGTCAGACAACGCAGTAGAGAGACTGACTCTTGTTCAACCTAACCAGGTTGAACATTTTACCTTTTCACCCAGAAGATTCATTTCTTATTTGTATTATTTATTTAGGAAATATTAACAGGGTTAAAACAGGATCTCCTGATAAATACATCAATGGCCCAAAGTTGCTTCATGACAACATGAAAGCAACTCTTCTGAGCTGCACTGGCTCCTAGAGTGATCCTTTCAAAGTACAAACAGGGCTGTATTATCGCTTGAAGCATGTTTGCAGGTTTTATTGCCGTCATTTTTTTACCTCATTGCTGGGAAGCTCCCATCTGGTGTTGAAATCGTCTACAGAATGAATGGAAAACTGTTTAGGCTTAGCAGTCCGAAAGCTAACAGTAAGATTTCCACCACATCAAGCATGGAACTTCAGTATGCTGATGACAATGCAGTTTTAGGCTGAAGATCTCAGAGTGGCAATCTTGAATGTGTTTGCTGATGCTTATGTATGTCTGGGTCTCACCCTCAACATCAAGAAAACCAAAGTGCTCCATCAGCCCTCTCCAAATGAGATACTATGTGGCACACCTATTAAAATTGAGGGAGAGGCACTGGAGAATGTTGATCATTTTCTCTACCTTGGAGGTTATTTTTCATCCAAGGCAGATATTGGTGTAGAAATCCAATATCGTCTGAGCTGTGCCAGTGCAGCCTTTTCTCATTTTGAGGCATGGGATTTTTGAAGATCACGACATTCAAACAGTGACCAATCTTCTTTTCTATCAAGCCATCGTTCTCCCATCACTACTGTATGGGTCTGAAACCTGGACAACCTACAGACATCACTTAAATGTCCTTGAGAAGTATCACCAATGCTGCCCCTGGAAGATCTTGAAGATCAAATGGAAAGACAGGTGCACTAACATCAGTGTTTTGGAAGAGGCAAAGACCACCTGTATTGAGGCAATGATCATCCATCAGCAACTTTTCTGGACCGGTCATGTTATTCGAATGCCGGACGATCACTTCCCAAAACAGAACATGTTTTCTCAGCTGAAAGAAGGATACCGTAACGTGGAAGGACAACAGAAGTCTTATAAAGACTTGCTAAAGAATAACTTGAAGTGCAACATTGACATTGATACTTGGGAGACACTTGCTCAGGATCACTCAAAATGGAGACTAGTCCTATGCAATGGCTCCTTGCATTTCATATTTGCCCACTGACAAGCCGAGGAGGGGAAGAGGCACAGAGGAAGGGGAGACTGGCTTCTATCATGGTCAGCAGCCTCCTGCTGTACCTGGAAACATTTGTCCTCGCTGTAATAAGGCCTATCCTTGAAACACAAGTTCTATCGCCCACCTGAGAGTCCATAACTCCCATGGAAGATGATCATACTTGACAACAAGTGGTCACCCATCATCATTAACAGGGTTACAAATCCCTGCTGTGTAAATACGAGAACAAATAACAGTCGTTAAAGTTGCATGCTTTTGTTTAGAGACATTATGAAGTAGTACATACATCTGACCTCTCTATTTATTACTATATTACATCATCTAAGATGGCATTGTTAGTGATTTATTTAAACAGAGTGGAATCTCTGTTTGAAGACATTTTATAGAGCAGGAATACCTATTAATTGTAATATTCAAAGACACCAGACAGCTGTTCTGCTAATGTTGCAGGTGGATGTGCTCTGAGTGTTGAACAAATGGCAACTAAACATCTAAGCATCTATTTGTCTTCGGTTTCTTTGGCTGAGTACATAATAGGTCCACTAATTTTTCCATAACAACCTGCCATACCATTCTTTAAGGGCTTCACTCTTTTTCTTTCTCCGCTGAGATGTGTCAATATCCCAACTGCTGTGAGCATATGAAAAATTCATTCTTCATTTTCTTTTGTGTGACTAGTTCTTCTAGGAAGGCCCCAGGAGGATTCCAAATGATTGTTTGGAACTAAATAGCCAATGATTTCTTGATATTTGGGTGCAAATTGTGCCTCCGTACTAGCTTATGACCATATGTGTACACATTCTCATTCACCAGTTTGTCCAATGATTATCCCCTATCTATAAAAATGTCCTCATTCACTATTCTTTCTCCAACACTTGTCTGTGTCTCAGTCTCTCAATCCCCATTCGTTTAAGGTTATTCATCTACACAGAGCCTTCTTCCCATGTGTCATATACAAACTTTTTTTAAGAAAGTTCTTTTTTGTTTCATAATTGACCAGTTGCCATTGCTTGTATTATAGCTATGTTTCTGTATAAAACAGCTTTCTTAGCTGAAAACATGCCTAACTTTATTGTAGTGGCACCATGGAAGAATGGGCCACCTACTATTAGTTTTGCCCTCTAAATGGATTAGAAAAGTTTCTTTATTGATCGGCCGTCCAATCACATCCACCCCATAGCTCTCCCAATTTTTAAAGATCACTGGTTTGTGATCTAGATTATTTGCAAGGGTCTCACTAGTGAGTGAAATAATGTATCTTATTTCTAGTTCCATCCCATTTCCTAGCATGCATTTAATTTTTGGAGGGTGTGATTTTTTTTTTTTTATTTTTATTTTTGGTATTAATATATAGTAATCCAGTGATCTCATTGCCACAATATTTTTGTCCAATAATGACCGGATGTTTGGCTGGGTTAGAGCCTTTCTCTCCCCCCAGAATACTACAGCTTTGAGCTGGCGGGCTTGATCATATCAGACTGTTTGGAACAGCTAATCCACTCTGTTCAGTGGGTCTGTACAACGTATCTGCATTTATTCTTGATATTTTCTTATTCTATAGGAATTCTTACAATGTTCTTTGTGTTCCTGCTAGGATTTTAGCTGGGAAGACTACAGAAAGATTTTGAAACAAGAAAGATATCCTGAGTAAAATGTGTATGTTGAGTGTGTCTATTCTTTTCCAACCCAAAATAGCTTATGTCCTTCAGCATTTCACGTCCTTTTTTTTCCTTTGCTGAAGTAGTGGTTTGATGTACAGGCAGTCCCTGGGTTACATGGATCCGACTTACATCGGCTCCCTACTTACAAACGGGGTGAAGCAACCCTGCACTAGCTGCTTCCCCCCAGCAGACCAGGGAGACGCGAAGCTAGCTTCCCCCCCCCCCCCCCCCGGCTTTTCTCAGCAGACTCCTCAGCTTGAGAATAAAGGACTGAGGGAAGTGAGGTGTGGGAGAATAAAACTGAGCTCTGGAGAAATGTTTGGCTAGAGTTTCCCCTACAATATGTACCAGTTCCGACTTACATACAAATTCAACTTAAGAACAAACCTACAGTCCCTATCTTGTACGTAACCCGGGGACTGCCTGTACACCATGGAGCTTTTGTGGGCTGTTTGATATTTAAATTCCCAAGTGACATACTGAAATTACTGCCCATTTGAACCCAAATGTTTTCAGAAGGAATGACTTCTCAGAGTCTGGTAAATTGACAACTAGTATTTCAGGCTTGGCACAATTTACTGTAAATCCAGATGTTCCCCAAGTCAGAGATTTTCTTAAAAATAATTGTAGTGTATGCAGCACTTGTTTCCAAGGGGTTTCTGCAAGCTTTATTGCTGTGAGAGATTTGCTGATCCTTTTTCTGTGTGCAGAAAGCTCCGTGGCCTGTGCAGAAAGTAAAGGAGACAATGGACAAGTCCCCCGTAATTCAAACACTGCCTCGCAGAGGACAGGTGTAAAGTGCAGTTATCTGATTAAGGAACTGGGAACCAGTGTGCACTTAAGATAGGACTTTCAGCACTATTCTGTCAAAAACTCTCTCTGCTTCAGGTGACATTTTGCTGATCTGGCAATATGGGTGCTTCAAAGTACCAGGGCTACAGATGGCGGGGGAGAGGGAGTAAAGGGGGCTATCACCTCAGCCTGGAGTTTCAAAGGGGCCCGGAGCTCCCGGCTGCTACTGCAGCTACAGCGGTGGCCAAAACCCTAGGCCCTTTCAGGAAGGACAGGTAGCGCTGAAGGGCTGGCAGGGGAAGGCTAATCTCCGGCCCACCCCTTCTGCGTGAGGCCTTATTCCTTCCAGAAGGGTCCAGAGCCAGACCCCGTCACCTTTCCCAGGGGTCTGGCATTTCTGTCCTTAGCCCTGTACTCTCAGAATATTGCCTGACTGACATTTGACCAGTGTTAAATGACTCCACTTTGATCTGGATTTATAGAAGATGAGAGCGTGGACTGCACTCAGTAGCTAGTATTTTGGCTAAAATACTTATGCCATGATTCAGCAGTAATATGGGCCAACCAGAGTTGCATACAGTCAGATCTGTTTCAACTTTAGAGAGAAAGACAGCCTACCATCTTTCATAGTTTGTGTAAGATCTTTCCTTAGAACAATAGCTGTTTCTCTCAACAGATCTACTAATGCCACTTTAAATGCCTTATATGATTCAACTAAAAGCCATCAGCCCTGGAGTTTAGGGCCAATAGACAGTATAAAAAGCAGATAAATGTCATCTTCTGTTATTTCTTTATTGAAAGTCTCATGGTCAATTTTGTTTCCCTTTGTCAAGCCAGCTATTTCCAGGTTTTTTTTCTGCATAAATCAAGAGCTTGGAGTATCTGAGCTAGAGAAGTTTTTAGAATCTTTCATTTTGGTGTATAACGCCCTTCTGCTGATGCTATTTAATAGAGGAATAATATATTGTTCTTGAATCTCTTAAGCCAGATGTTTCCAAATGTTGTCACAGGAGCCTCTCTAACTTAAGAAAAACAAAAAGTGTGTTCTTCTCTAGAGCTTATTAAGACACTAGAAAGCATTGAAAATAATATAATTTGTACCAATACGTGTCAGGTGCCTGATGCAGGAAAACTGGCTTTATAATGTGACATCCAGTTAATGTTTTTGTTCAAACCCAGAGTAACAATATCAAATTTACAGATGGAAAATTTAACTGTTTTCCTAGTCTTGAACAAAGTCTATAAGGTGCCACAGGACTACTCAGTGTTTTTAAAGTTGGTGTGCATCTGCACTGCACTGTAACTGGAAATAAGATATGCAATTTGAGCGACACAAATTGCGTATCTTATTTCGATGCTATTTCAAAAAAGCTTATTTCATTATTTGGCACTGTTTACACAAATGACAAATTTTGAAATAAAATGCTATTCCAAAATGTCCCGTATTCCTAATAGAATGATGTTTACAGGGACATTGGATTAATGAACCTGAAATAACTGGACTGCTGTGAAGACATGAGAGAGTTATTTTAGGATATTTCGATATCCTGAAATAGCGGTGCAATGTAGATGTAGCCTTACAGACTAACACAGCTACTCCTCTCAGACTTTCTACATCTTCTAAGGCAGTAATTTTTGATTTCGCTTGTTGTCAGATCATCTCTTGTGGCCTTAATCTCAGGGATCGCCTCCCATATATCCACTTTAGTAGCTATTTGATTGTCTTCTGCCCTTGATATTTTTTCCTGATTTGGCTGCTATGTGCTCTCTTGGAAGCTGAGTGGTTTCTTCACACTGTGAGCCAGAAAGGCTATAAATGAGGTACCTTTTAAATGTTTAGATTTGGGCATGGGGGAAATCCACCTTCTGCAGTTTGTGCTCCCAGATTTTGGGGGAAATTTAGAAGTCATAGGGGTGGATGGAGGCAGATGTCTTTTGAAAGAGGGAATATCAAAGACCCTGTAAACCTTGATTTACGAGGAGTAAGGGATCTTTCGAAAGAGGGCTTTTTTCCAACATTTGGCCCCGTCTATGCCAAAGAAAAACCTCTGCAAAAAGGATTGGGAAAAGATATGCAAATGAGAGCGCACTTTGCATATCTTCTGCTGAAAAAAACAGCAGTCTAGACGTCGCTTCAGACTTCAGGCGGCCATTGTAGCCCATCCCCCTGCTGATCTCCATGCACTCACAGTATAGGCTTCTTGAATCAGGAGTTATGGCGCAGGTATACTGCAGCAGCAAGCATTGCTCAGTGCTAGCCAGATAACACTGCTCTACAGCCAAAATGCTTCTGAAATAAATGGTCAAACTTTACTAATTCTGGGTCACTGAGAACGAAAATGATGCTTAAAATTGTTGATTGACTCTAGTTTTCAAGATATGCTATTAGGTCAGTATATACGACCCTTGACTTGCAAATGGTGGAGGATAAGTGAGTTATAAACCAGAAATGACTAAAATACATCTTTGACTGGATCTATGAATAAATCCATGACTGGGTTTGGACAGTACTTGCTTTTTAGGCAAAACAATGAATGATGTAATCTGAAGCTGGCATTGCATGATACATGATATGAATTGCATCATGTTATTCCCAGAAGTCATGGATGATGCAATCATAATGAAGCTTATATCACGCTGCTGAACAAATTGCCCTATATCGGCTCTAGAAATCATACAGTGTCGTGCTCTCTTATTTGTCAGTGTTTGATTTTGCAAAGGGACACATTTCTGTTTAGCCAAAGTGAGCAGAGATGCCTCATACTTGTGTGAACAGTGCAGATAACTTCTGCTATGTTTGTGGTGAAGTGACTCTTGCATCACACAAGCGCAGTATAACCACTATGGTTAAGAAAGCCTATCACCTTTATTTTGGCTGCAAAATTGGAGATCAGGACAAGAGGTGGGCCCTACACATATGTTGCAACACTTGTGCAACAAATCTTCGCCAGTGGTTGAACAGGAAAAGGAAATCTATGCCTTTTGCAGTGCCAGTGATTTGGAGAGAGCCAACAGATCATACCAGCAATTGTTACTTCTGCATGGTGCCTCCAGTTGGGAAAGGTGTGTCAAAGAAGAAAAAGTGGACTGTGCATTATCCAAACATTCCATCAGCTATACGTCCAGTACTTCACGGAGAAGGACTGCTGGTTCCTGATGCACCAGAATCATTCTCACTTGAGTCAGACGAGGAAGAGGAAGAGGATGAAACTTCTGGTTCTGAACCATCAATGTCACAGGACCCACATTTTCTCCCATCCTCCTCCTCTGAACCACACCTCATAACACAAGGTGAACTGAATGACCTTGTCAGGAATTTGGAACTACCCAAGAGTAAGGCAGAGCTGTTGGGCTCCAGACTACAGCAGTGGAATCTCCTGGCAGGTGATGTTAGGGTTTCCATGTTCCGTGACCGTCAAAAGGATCTTGTCCCATTCTTCTTCATGGAAGGTGATCTTGTAGCCTGCAACAACATTGATGGTGTGATGGCAGCCCTCAACATCATTCACGATCCAGATTAGTGGGACTGTTCATTGAGTCATCAAAGACTAGTCTTAAAGCTGTTTTGCTGCATAATGGCAATGTTTTGCCATCAATTCCAGTTGGTCATGCAGTCCATATGAAGGAAACCTATGACAACATGAAACAACTTTTGAGGTGCATAAACTATGACCAACATCAGTGGCAGCTTTGTGGCAATTTGAAGGTTGTTGCTCTCTTGCTTGGTCTGCAGACTGGATACACAAAGTACTGCTGTTTTCTCTGCAATGGGATAGTTGTGCAAGAGATTCCCACTACATCAAGATAGATTGGCCACTCCGACA